ATAAACATTAAACACAGCCAAGTATGTGGGTTGGTTTGCAATAACTGGATGACTTAAGTGTTGCACAGGGAAATCTTTTAGTTAATAGAAAGGTTAATTGACCAGTACACTTTTGGAATAAATCAGCTGAACCTGAGTTAGTCAAAAAGCATGGGACAAGGCTAAGGCAGGAGGATTGCCAGGAGTTCAAGGCTAGCTTGGGCTATATAGTGGGTTCAAGGCCAGAATTGCATAGCAAAACCCTGTCTCAAAAAATCGAAGAAAAAAAAAAAAACCAAGTAAAGTACTTGGTTTAAAGCATTTAATGATTGTATACACATAGTAGGAGGCATTCATTGTATAAAAAAAATCCAGATTTTACTAAAAGACACTAACAGAATAAAACATGGGTGTTCAGATGTTTCTCATTGCTTTAGTATATTGTACATCATATTTGTGTGTTCTAGATTCAACTGAGAATCACAAATATTTGGGATAAAATAAGTCAGGGCCATTTGTGAACTGTGGAGGGAGAGAACCAGGCCTCACCAGGATGTGATCCCCACCTGGAATCTTATCTTTTTCATTGTTTTGTTGGGTTGGGTTTTATTCTTTTTTGTTTTGTTTATGTTACATCTGATGGCAGGAGCAGCTATTTAAACAATAGCAAGACATACTATGGTAGCCATTTTGGATTTACTATTGGCTTGGAGTCCTTTATTGCATTCATTGTTGTTTTTATTGTCAATACTCTTTTCTATTCTGTTCTATTTTTACTATGTCTGAGGGTATCTGCAGCTATTTTGAAGGCAACAAAAGGCATTATGGTAACTATTGTTGATTTCATAAGATTTTGAAGTCCTGTATCAGTTATACTGGTTTGATTGGTTTTATTTTCCTTGGTTTTATCCTCTTTAAAATAAAAAAAATAGTAAGTTGGTACTGAACATGTATGGACTTTGGTGTCATTAATCCCTAAATAATACAAGTATTTTTGTAGCATTCACGATATACTAGGTGCTATAAGTAGTGCACCATTTTATCTAAGGGATCTACTTGACCATCTTTAGATTTTTCGTATCTGAGTGGATCCAGGAATCAATTCCTCACAAATACTGAGCGAGCGATGACTGCATTTGTTTTTATGCACTAAAGCTCATGGACATTTTGGTGATGAAGTGAGAGGGGAAAGGTGAAGGACAAACTTCTCAAACTTAGATTTCTCTAATTGCAGGACATATTCTTTTTTGAGGATAGCATACTAGAGATTAATCCTAGGGTCTTTGCACTTTATGTTCCCAGCATCTTTCTGTTTTGAGACAGGCACTCACTAAATTGCTCAGTATGGGCTGGAACTTGTGATCCTCCTGTTTCTGCCTCCCAGAGTGCTGGGATTACAGGCATGCACCACCATGCCTAGAAGGAGCCGTTCTTCATAGCTTAGCAAGATTTGATGGAACCTAAACAGGAGTTTGAAAGGGACATGGCAGGCCAGAATTAAATACACTTCATAAGATCATTTAAAAATATCTTTTAAGGGGGCTGGGGATTTAGCTCAGTGGCATAAGCGTCTGCCTTGTAAGCAGGCAGTCATGAGTTTGATCCCTGGTACCGATAAAAAGCATAAAGACCAACAAAAAAAAAAAATCTATTAAGTTTTTTAAAATTTTCTTTTATAAAAGGATTAACCCCTCAGGGGGCTCTACCATCAAAACAACCAAAACCAACAATAGTTTTTGCTATCACTTATGGGAACAAGCATAAGTACCTGTTTCTTATGGGTAGCAGTTTATATCTCAGCAGCTCTTTCATTCTGTCAATTTTGGGTGAGACCTCAATATATTTATGTATTTTTTCAACCATAACAACCCAATCATAGCAAGTATTTAGAAAGCCCAAGGGCTGGAAAACAGTTGTTTGGGATAATTGAAAACTGCAACTTAAGGTAACATTTTGAAAGATCAAGAGCATTTTCTTTCACAGTTTCAAGGATCAGTGTTTTGCCAGTCTACATTCCGGTTGCAGTTTCAATCAGTTTGAAAACTGGAAAAAGCAAGTCAGATTTGCATTTCAGCAATGGATAGGAGTCATGAACCAAGTGTATCACTTGCGACAAAAGCAGCTGGAGAATTAAAAAAAAATGACAACTTTGGAAGAACATACAAATGGCCATAGTTATCTAAAAACACAGCCATTCTCATATTAACAATATCATAAAACAAGTATTCTTTTCACACTTTTTTTTTTTTTTTACTGCCATGTCACTTTCAATATTTGTGAATGCATACTTCATATACTTGGCAGAGTTCCGCACTAGCAAATTAAAGCCAAAAAAATTTTGTCTTTTTAGTTCAGGTAGGACACTACAGATATAGTAGTGCATGCACATCACTGTTTTGAAATAGTCTACACAAGGATGTCTAGCGTATATTTCAATTCAATAATAAGTGAAGAGTGACATTCTTTTTGTTTTTTCTTTTTGGTACCGGGGATCGAACTCATGACTGCGCGCTTGCAAAGCAGGTGCTTATGCCACTGAGCTAAATCCCGAGCCCAAAGGTGACATTCTTAACTTGGTTGAGGGATGGAATGAAGGGACAAGCTCAGAGAAAGTAAAAAATAGGGGGCTGGGGATTTAGCTCAGCGGCATAAGCGCCTGCCTTGCAAGCAGGCAGTCATGAGTTTGATCCTCGGTACCGATAAAAAGGAAAAGACCAAAAAAAAAAAAAAAAAAAAAAAAAAAAGTAAAAAATAACATGCTGAACGGTCAGCTAGAAGTCTATTAAAACTCTGCAACTTAACACCCTCCAGAAATTGGACAGAAGATTTCCTGCATCAGAAGTCTACACATAACTAGTCAGTATTGTTCATATATTCATAGTAAAGGGCATTTTGGTGTCAAAGGGAGAAGGGAGAGGGGGAGACAAACTTGTAAAGTTCAGATTTCAAATTAAATTTTCTCAGGTTTTAAACTTTTTTTTAAAAATACCTGGTTAGGAAGTATTTTTGCAGTGAGCAGCAAAGGAATATTTAGAGCTAGATTTTGACATGTAAAGTCAGGCAAGCAACTTTCAGTAAATTGCCTCCAATCAAACCTAACATTGCTCTCTAGAACTATGCTCAGAAAGAACCATGAAATGCTTTTGTTTCAAACTGAGATTTCAGATGGTTCTTTTTCACGTTTAGTCCCAAAAGCCACTCTTCACGAATCACCTCATACTGCCTTTACGACCAGCCACGTTGTCTCTAGTCAAACCCATACGGGCCACAGCGTGGACAATCAGGCACTGCTGCTGGCCCTAAGCTCCACCTGTTGAGGTCAGCTGGTTCACCGGGCTGGCCTGCTTTCTCCCTCCAGGTAAGGATGGGTTGGAACCACTCCCTTTTAGAGCACAGCCTACCCTGGAGCTTACACAGTTGTCGTTGGACAGCCTTGCCCCTGCTTCTCGCAGGGCGAGGAGACCGCATGGCAGTCACACTGCAATGCACAAAAGGCGACCCTTATCGCGGGTGGCCACTGGCCTCTGCGGCCCGGCGCTCGGATTCAGACTCCTGCACCACCGGAAGGGGCGAGGTCGGAGAGGGAAGCGCTGGCTCCGGGCGAGCCCAGGTGCGACACAGGGGTGCCAGGGCTCAGGGCTGCGCCACGCGCCGCGCGAGAACGCCTGACTCATGTGGCAGGGCGGCGGGCTCCTGGGAATTGAAACTCGTGATGCTGTTGCTGCGGAGAAAAGCCTCATTACCCATGCCGCATGCGGGGGACACCACCCAGGGCGCGCACACCCCAAACCCGGTGCTCTGACAGCCTAGGCAACCACCTCCCTCCTCGCCCCATCCCCAGGTCGCGCGCCCGGCGCGTGAGAAAAGAGCGGACACACCTAACCTGCGCGCGGCCGCAGCCTCGCACCCGGCCCCACCCCCACCAAGCAGAATCACTCAGCCCGACCCGGATTCGCTTCCTCCGCAAGATTCCCCACCCCCACTGCCCCAGGCTTCGGCGCCTCCGCTAGCCTTCGGCAATTTCCGTCGAGACACCGAGCGCTCGGCAAGGTCCGAACACCCGCCGCCTCTTTCCCCGCCAGACCCGGCTTTATGTCTGTGGTGCCGGGGCGCATGCGCAGACGCCATCTTCCCGCTTCTCCTTGCCCTGCCCCCGCCCCCCCACGGGCGCCGTCGCCACCGCCACAGCCGCCGCCTCCTTTCGCCGGCGGTCGCCCCTCCTCCTCCTGAATCCGGGCGCTGGTCCCTCCTCTCCCGATGCCGCGAGAGACCGGGGGATACGGTGGAGTCGGAGAAGAGCACAAGTAACAACCACCACAGCCCGCTCTCCGCCTGAAGCCCTCCCTCGGTACCCACCCACTCCCCCGCCCCGTGTGCCGACACCGACCAACCCCACCTCTCGTTCCTTTGAACGGCGTCGGCTGCAGTCGCTGTACCAGCCCGTCTGGCCACCAACGCCGCCGAGGAAGGAGCCGCCGCCGCCGCCGCTGCCGCTACTGCCCGCAGTCCCCTCCCGCCCGGCCGGCCGCGGGAACCGCGGGCTGAAGACGAGCCGCCCGCGGAGGAAGAGGACAGAGGCTCGCAGCCCCGGCTCCCGTGCACGTTCCGCCGCTCTTCGGGGAGGCTCGGGCGCCGGCCCTTCCTGCCCGAGGACGCGTGCCGAGCCGAGCGTCTGCCCCGAGGGAGGAAAATGCTCGGGCTCCATGGCTGCCAGTGATGGAGCGGTCCCTGGGCTCCTGCTGCCACCGCCGCCGCCGCGCCCCGGCCGTGCTCCGCGAGGACCCGGCGTCTCCGTGCGCCCGCCCGCGCCTCATTGCTGGGTTCTCCGTACCGGGCGCTCCACCGCCGCCGCCCCGCGCGCAGCCGCGCCGCTCCGGCCCCAGCCGCGGCCAGCGTTTCCTCCCGGAGCAGCCGCCGCGAGCCCCAGGGGTTTGAGAGGGTCCGCAGGGCTCGGAGGGAGGGCCCGGCGGGGAAGGTTTGAGCGACGCTGAGCTCGGGCTCGCCGGCCGCCGCGGCCGGGGGTGGCGAGAGCAAGGCTACGCTCGCTCCACGCCGTCTTGGTGCAGAGCGACTGGGAGGGCTTTGCAGCGGCCGTCGCCGCGGCGGGAGGAGGGGGCTGAGCTGGCTCCGGAGTTGGCCAAAGAAGGTGGGCATTTCTGGCTTTTCCTCCCCTGCCCTGCCCTGCCCTGCCCTCCCCGCCCCTTCCTCTCCCTAGTGCCCCACACCCCACGTGAAGCGGAATATAAAGGGGGGTGTGAGACTAGCGGGGAAAGTGAATGGCGGAGGACTGAAGGGGTCTCCCCTTCTGGTCCCCGGCCGCCCTGTTCACCCTCGTTCATCCTCCCTTCCCCGAAGCTCGCCCTCGAAGGCCCCAGAGGTCGGCTTCTTAGGCTGAGGAGGAGGACTCGCGGCGGAGCGTCAGGTCCAGTTTTCTCCCCGGCGTCTCCAATACAAAGATTACGGTGCAGACGGAAATTGCATTCGCCTCCTCCGCCCCCCGGTACCCAACACAATGCACCAGCCGCCTGAGTCCACTGCTGCCGCGGCGGCAGCGGCTGCAGACTTCAGTGCTAGGAAGATGGCGCACCCGACTATGTTCCCTCGAAGGGGCAGCGGTAGTGGCAGCGCCTCTGCTCTCAGTGCAGCAGGTACCAGCATTGGTAGTACTGTCTCATCTTCTGAGGATTTTCCGCCTCCATCGCAACTACAGCCAGCGACTCCTGCAGCGTCTTCCACGTCGGGACCACAACCTCCGCCTCCACAAAGCCTGAACCTCCTCTCACAGGCTCAGCTGCAGGCACAGCCCCTTGCGCCAGGTGGAACTCAGATGAAAAAGAAAAGTGGCTTTCAGATAACCAGCGTTACTCCGGCTCAGATCTCTGCCAGTATCAGTTCGAACAACAGTATAGCAGAGGACACCGAGAGCTATGACGATCTGGATGAATCTCACACAGAAGATCTCTCGTCTTCGGAGATACTTGATGTGTCGCTTTCCAGGGCTACCGACTTAGGGGAGCCGGAGCGCAGCTCCTCAGAAGAGACTCTGAATAACTTCCAGGAAGCAGAGACACCTGGGGCAGTCTCTCCTAACCAGCCTCACCTTCCTCAACCTCATTTGCCTCACCTTCCACAACAAAATGTTGTGATCAATGGGAATGCTCATCCACACCACCTGCATCATCACCATCACATCCATCACGGGCATCACCTTCACCATGGCCACCACCATCCATCCCATGTTGCTGTGGCCAGTGCATCTCTTCCTGGAGGGCCACCCGCGAGCCCAGTTTCCAGAAAACTCTCTACATCTGGAAGCTCTGAGGGTGTTATGCCAGTGACACCAACTTCTGCTGTATCATCGAGTGGCTCACCTGCATCTGTAATGACTAATATCCGGGTTCCAAGTACTACAGGCAGTGTAGGTATAAATTCTGGTACTGGCGCTAGTGCCGTGAATAATGTTACTGTTGCTTCTGTGGGTAGTTTCAGTCCTAATGTGACAAGCAGCATGCTTGGTAATGCTAATATAAGTACAAGCAATGTTCCTAGTGCTGCTACTGTAAGTGTTGGGCCTGGAGCTACCAGTGGTGTTACTGTGAACATCTTGAGTGGTATGGGCAATGGTACTGTTTCTTCCTCTGCTGCTAACAGTGTCCCTAATGCAGCTGCAGGGATGAATGTGGGATTGGTTTCAAGTCAACAGCAACAACCAACAGTTAACACATCAAGGTTCAGAGTTGTGAAGTTAGATTCTACTTCTGAACCATTCAAAAAAGGTAGATGGACTTGCACTGAGTTCTATGAAAAAGAAAATGTTGTACCTGCTACAGAAAGTGTGGTGGCAAATAAAGTGGTGGAGACTGTAAAACCAAACCTGACAGAATTGACTTCTGAGAGGGAGAGCACTAGTGGGAGTTCAGTGAGCAGTAGTGTCAGCACACTGAGTCACTACACAGAGAGTGTGGGAAGTGGAGAGATGGGAGTCCCTACCGTGGTGCAGCAGCAGCCACCAGCTCTTCAAGGTGTGGCTCTCCAACAGATGGATTTCAGTAGCACTGGTCCGCAGAGTATTTCAGCAGCTAGTACACCGCAGAGTATTTCTCAGTCACAGATGTCACAAGTACATTTACAGTCTCAAGAACTAGGCTATCAGCAAAAACAAGGTCTTCAACCAGTACCTCTGCAAGCCACTGTCAGTGCTGCAACTGGTATCCAGCCATCAACGGTAAATGTGGTTGGTGTAACTTCAGCTTTAGGTCAGCAGCCCTCCGTTTCCAGTTTGGCTCAACCCCAACTGCCATATCCACAGACAGCTCCGGTAGTGCAAACTCCCCTTCCAGGAGCAGCATCCCAGCAGTTACAATATGGACAGCAACAACCAGTGGTTTCTACACAGATGGCCCCAGGTCATGGTCAGTCAATGACTCAAAATCCTACTTCAGAATACGCACAGCAGCAGTCCCTTCTGCAAACAGCAATGTCCTCTGGACAGTCCAGTTCTGCGGGAATGGGAACAGGAACAACAGTGATTCCTGTGGCTCAGCCACAGGGGATCCAGCTGCCAATGCAGTCCACAGCAGTTCAAGCACAACCTGCAGGGCCATCTGGCCAGCCTGTTGGCCAGGCTCAAACAGCAATGTCTGCTGTACCTATTGGCGGTCAAATTGCCACTATTGGTCAACAAGCAAACATACCTACTGCAGTGCAGCAGCCCTCTACCCAGGTTACACCTTCAGTTATTCAGCAAGGTGCTCCTCCATCTTCACAAGTAGTTCCACCTGCTCAAACTGGGATTATTCATCAGGGAGTTCAAACTAGCACTTCAAGCCTTCCTCCACAATTGGTTATTGCACCCCAGAGTACCTTGTTAACTGTGCCTCCCCAGCCACAAGGAGTAGAACCGGTAGTTCAAGGAGTTGTTTCACAGCAGTTGCCCGCAGTTAGTCCTTTATCCTCTGCTAGTAGTGTTCCTGTTACAAGCCAGGTTAGTTCAACTGGTCCTTCTGGAATGCCTTCTGCCCCAACAAACTTGGTTCCACCACCGAATATAGCACAACCCCCTGCCACTCAAAATGGTAATTTGGTTCAAAGTGTTAGTCAACCTCCCTTGATAGCAACTAATATAAATTTGCCATTGGCACAGCAGTTACCGCTAAGTTCTGCTCAGTTCTCTGCACAATCGTTAGCTCAGGCAATTGGAAGCCAAATTGAAGATACCAGGCGCCCAGTGGAGCCCTCCTTAGTTGGCTTACCTCAGACTACCAGTGGTGACGGTGGGGGAATGTCAGCAGTTTCAGATGGGAGTAGCAGCAGCCTAGCAGCCTCTGCTTCTCTTTTCCCGTTGAAGGTGCTACCGCTGACAACACCCTTGGTGGATGGCGAGGATGAGAGGTAAGATATGGCATATTTCTGCAGACATTCGGAGTTGAAGTTAACTTCTTCAGTAGCGATATATGCACTTCTGACTAGTTTATAGAGTGTTAGACATTTATTGTAAGTAAATATACTCATGGTAAGTTTTCTAGAGAAAGAATGTTAAGGAATGATCTCAGTGAGTTGCAAGTAGTATAATATATAAATCGTCAAGTTATTGAACATACAGTATTAAAACTAGGTTTGGGGGCACCAAGTGGTTTTTGTTTTTAAAATGCATTTTAAAAGATTAGTTATGAAGCTTAGATTTTGCTAACCCACAAAATAACTGTTCTCTTGAGTTACTAAAATCCTTGTGAAGATCTCTTGGAGAACTGCAGTTCCCACATTTGTTCTCTTTCACAGATAATTATTTTCAGTTATAATGTAACCCATTTTATTTAGGCTGTGAAAGATAATCTTACCTGCTTTTCCTATTCAAACACTGTAGGAAAGATGACCTAATCTGGGCTGTAGAGGTTGACCTTATGTTGTAGTTCACCAGCTTTTGTAGACTAATTTAATGGTTACTTTATCTGAACAGAAAAGGAACGGGACTCTTAAAACATGTTTTGGCGGGCAGAGGTCAGTCATGCACTGTCAGAATAACTAGGTTGGTCTTTATGGTAGTAGGCTGTGTGTTTTTTCTTGTACGCAGTTTGTCAAGATGGTAGCCATTTTAGAGTAAAGAAAGCCTTGGAGTGTTGAATTTATACAGGCAGGAAAATAAGATTGTCTGCTAATCTACTCCACCTGTTCCCTCCCCTCCCCCCAAATAACCTCATGTAGCCTGAAATGCATTATTACAGCAGCATTTTTTCGGATTGGAAGTGTTGCACGAATCAAACTTACTGACTCAAATTGCATCTTTGAAGCTGACTGGCTAGAAAAGTTGTGAAATCTTGTTTGCTTCCTACGTTGTTTTAGGATTTAGTTGATTTATTTTTTTGAAGGAATGTTCTTTTCACAAATCTGCCAGTCGGTGACTAACCTTGATAAAAATATCATAGGAATTATGAAAAGACTATTCATTTTCACTGGAATTTTGAGTAAGCATGCGAGATATTTAATTATTTTAGTATTAGTTGAAGATTTTTGGGATTGAAGTTTGATCAAATTAGCTGAAACATTTATGTTCTATACATTTATTTGTGGGTTTTATTTGGAAAAACTGAGTTTACTGGAAAATAATTTTAATTTTAGAAAAAGAAAAGTCCAAATGTTTCCATGTTTTTTTAAAGGTAAAAGGAAAAGGCATTGTTAATAGAAACATTTGTCATTCAAGTTTTTTATTATTTTTCTAATGGGCTATCATTAAAATCTTGTTACTAACAAATGTGTTCTGTATCTTTCTACAAAAGTATATATACTTGGACTTCTAAGAGGAAGCTTCCGTAATTCCCTTACATTTATTGTTTGGCTTTTAACTTTATTATTCTGACACCTGTAATTTTAAAGAATTACCTTAGTTTTTCATGTTTTCTAAATCAAAAGGATGTGAACTGAGTGGAACTTGTACAAAAACTAGTGTATTTTATAGGTGTTAAATTTAGAGAAATGAAAGACAAAGATGACAAACAAATAGGAACCTGCACATTGAATGGAAAACCTTGTGTGATTTTGTTAATTACCATTTGTCCTCTCCTGGTATACCTTTTTCTTATTTTCCTTCTGTTGATGCAGAGGGTGTGGTAGGGCTTTTCAAAACGAGCTTTCATACAGTTAAAAGCCAGAGAATTCTACTTGGAACTAGGCTTTTAACTGTAGGAATGGAATCCTAGTTAAAGGTATTAGCACAAAATGATTTTCCAGGTAGTCACTGAGCTAAAGAATAATTAGGGCTAAGTAAAATAAAAAGATTTGAAATTCTAGAAAGGGACAAGAAATTTGATCAAATATTGGCCTAAAATCACTTGTCTTCAGAATGTACTTCTTTTGAATTTACATATTGGAACCTTCCTTAGTTGATATCAAGTTGAATAATTAAAATCAGAAACAATTTTTTGAGCAGTATTCTTCAAATTCTTTAAAATCAAAATATTTCACCCCTAAAATACCTGTAAGGTTAGAAAGGATGACTAACATTATGTATATATTTCGGAAGAAGAAATCTTTCATTTAAAGTTGCCCTTGAGAGAAGATCAGAGAAAAAAGTGATATAATCTCTGAACTCACAGTTATTTTTACTTTTCTTCCTTTATGTCACTTGCCATCTTCCAGACTTGGTCACCATTAGTCTCTTACTAGGGAAGAGGTACATTATCATTTCAATGTTATGATACAGGAAGTATGTTCACTATAAAATTTTGGTGGTAGAATGAATGAGGGTGGTTATTTAATCATCTTTTGTAATAATGTTTTGTACTTTAGATTTTCTAGCTAACATTTATCAGACTTGATAAGTTTTCCTTTGGCTATTATAGACAGTAAATATTAGAAAAATGGCTCAAGGGACTACATACAGTTAAATCTTGGTTTCAAAAAATCATTTTTTACTAAAAGTCCTCAATGTTTTAATCTTAAATATGAACCTTATGAGAATGGCAAGATTTTGATGTGAAATTATCAAATTTCTATTCATCTTTCAAGACTTAGTTCAGATGTTCCCTCTGAAGGATTTTTTTCCTTCCAGGGGATGTTTCCTAGCCCTTCTTAATTTTCTTCTGCTTTAGCACTGCTTAAGCACATATTCGATTATAATTATGTTTACCAGTCTTTCCCACAAGACTAGAAATTCTTCAAGGGCAGTAACTGAATATTTCTTAAACAAATTAATGAGCAGACATTTCTCTATTTTTCTTATCGAGGTTTAAAGTTTTTATTGTTTCTTGTGTTTCTAGAGCTGTTAGAGATTGCAGGATCATATAATTTATGCAATGGATTGAAAAGAAATCAGTAAGATTATTTCCTAACCTCATTGTTCCATGAATCAAATTGATGACTGTCTTCTAAACACAATGCCTGTTTTATGGCAGGTCCTTGAATATTTATCAAAGAGGAATGGATTTTTTTAACCTGTAAAACAGGAATAATACTCCTTTTGCCTACTTCCAAGGATGGTAGTAGGATCAGGTAACTATAAAATACCGAATTACAATTTTTAAACTTATTTTTCATTTGAAATGTACCTACAATTTAAAGAGTTAACAGTTTCCGTGGTTATCCTAAATAACTACATGAATATATAAGCTGCCCTCTTTCTGTTCCTGTGGCTGCCTCCTGGTTCCCACCTATCCTTAGCTATCTAATATATAGAAATGTTGGTGGGTTCTCTTCTTTCGAGTTTTTGTTTATCAGCATAGTCTGTTTTACCAGTTAACCTTTCCTCCTTCATAGCTCCTGCCCGTTTTTGTGTTTTTGGCCCTACTTTTTTGATAAAGTCCTTCCTCAGATGTCTGGTAATTCTTGATTGTGTGCTTAGACTTAAATGTAAGAGGACTAAAGAGCTGATTAGAAAGTTTCAGGGGGGTGATATGTTTGAATTTCATTGCCTGCTTCCCTGTTCCTCCCTTTCCCCTTTTTAGTTTTCTCTGTATATCACTGAGTCTGCATTTCATTAGATGTTCAGTACTGACATGAAGTATTGTCACCCATTTTATCTTCCAGAAACTTTATATACCTTTGACCTGCATTCTGGACTGATTGCCTTCTAGTCTTGGTACATAATCGTTATCCCAAGATTCCCTTCACTTTCTCATGTATTGGAACTCAATTTTTGCAAAGATCATTGTTGTCTTCTTTCTTCATTTATTTGGTATTTTAAAATCACTTTAGTTGACCTTTACACTTGTTTGATTCTCTGATTCTCTGGTTAGGTAAAGTATAAGGTTTGAGAAAATTTTCTGATACGCTTTCTAGCATCCATCCTGCTTTTGGAAAATCTGTAGTCCTTTTCATACAGTATATGATTTCTCTTATGTTGTGTGTGACCTGTGTGTGTTGCTTTTCCTTCTCTTTGTATGTTTTGAAATTTGATAATGGTGAACTTTTTTTCCGGGTTTGTTTTCATTCTTCACACTGAGTATTTGGCATGTGCCTTTTTAGTTTGAAAACATTTTTAAAAAATAAACTTTTTAAAAAATGAGCTTAGGCCTCACTAACCACATTGAAATCATATAGTACAATTTTAATTTTTACTTATGATTCTGGCAGTTAAATTCAGGGCCTTGTGGATGCTAGGAAAGTGCCCTTCCTCTGAGCTGTTTCCTCAGCCTCTGTTTCTTTTTCTTAAATGAGATTGTTGATTATGTATTTCTGGTTTTTTTTCTCAGATTCCTCTTGTTTGATAATGGACTTTCTTGGCTGGTCTTCTGATTTTCTATAGTATCTTAACCATTATCATTTTTTTCTCTGTGCTCTATTTTGATTAAATTTATGTTTTTCTTATCGTATATGTAGTTTCCTAGAGCTTTTTTCCTTGTTTTTTGCTACTTTCTAATCACGTGTCATTTCTAGTTTAATGTTACCATAGCTTTCTCTTAGTTCTTTGGCTATGTGAGTGTCGGACTTTCTCTTGCTCTTTCTTTCTCTTTCTCTTTTTCTTTCTTTGTGGTTTTTTCTCTAGATTTGTTTTTCTTTGGTTTGATCTTTATTTTTCATTTTATAGTCTTTCCTCAGACATATGTAAGAGTATGGAATTAAAATACTGGTAAGAAGTTCATGGTGAGACATGTCAGTTGTTTGCTTCGTTGTATGTCAGCTTGGCTAAGCTGTTTGGTTGATCAACTTGGCTAAGCTGATGTCATATCTTCATGTATTTTCTCCTAGCTGATTAGATTCCTATAAAATGACTTCTGATTTCTTGCCCGGAAGTGAAGGCTTGTCAACCAGCATTGGTGAAGGAAGCTGGAGCAGTGAGGGGGACAGTGAAGGGTCTTTGGGAGTGTCGGCATCCCCAAGTACATTTCTTCAGCCTTGTTTTCAGTTGCTCTCTTACCTTTTTGTGCCTGGTTGCTTTAGTTTCCTGAGATGTTGTGTTTTACCTCTTTCAGATACCAAACATGGGAGAAGTTGGGATCTATGGAACTCGTTACAATTGTCCTGCTTTTAGGGACACCCCACCCCATACCCCTTCTCATACATTTGTGGTATTGCAGATTCCTGAACCTTTGGGGAATTTTACAGTTTAAATTGAGATAGTTCTTGCATTCTCCACTGTTTGCTAAAGACTTGACTTTGTACTGTTTGCCAAGTCATTTGTCACTCAGCCATCTGCTTTCCAACTTCTGAATTTTTATTGCTGTTGCTTTTTTACCTCTTAATTTCTTGAAGGCTTATAGTTTTATATCTTAAAAAATTCCTTTTCTGTCATTTCAGTGGGGCTTTCAGGGAGCAAATAAAAATAGATGTAGATTTTATTTTTACACAACTATCTCAACAGTAGAATATGCACTATTAAATGTAAAAAAAGATGCTCATTTTAATAAAGCCATTGCTCCAAGGTATTGTAAGTACCGAAAATAAGTTTTAAGAATGGGGTTATTTGGCTTTTATTTATTAGAAAGGAGAATAAAGCAGGCAGTCTTGAGTTCAATCCCCGGTACCGATAAAAATGAAAAAGACAAAAAAAAAAAAAAAAAGAAAGGAGAATAGTGTATAACTTAATTCATAGAAGTGATGAAAAAGTTAAGATTAGAGTTAATATTTTTATCACATTGTCACTTAATATCCTTGTAAATTAATTTTTTCTATTTTACTTGTGTATAAACTGAAAGTTAACTGAATTTATTACAGAAGTTAAATGAGTTATTAGATAGGTGTCGCATATATGATAAAGCCAAGCTAGGATTCAAAGCTTTTCCCAATTTAGTATCTGTCATAGATGTCTGCTACTAGAGTGGCTATAAAACCTTAAAAAAAAAAAAAAAGGGCAAACTTCATTGCTTTCTGTTTCAGTGTAAATGATGAAATTTCCATATAATGTAAAAATTTCTTATAAGCTCTTGGTCAGAAAAAAATAGGTAGTTTTCACAGTGCAGAGTCTAGAACACACTAGGCCCCTGGATGTGGAACGAATTTGGACCTATGTTTCTTTTGCAATTTTGTGTGGAAAATTTCTTTTTAGGAAGGCCACTTTAATTTTCTAGTTATTTCAATCAAGTCTTGGTACCACTGAATTTAGGATTACAGTTATTTCTTGTTTAGAAGGTTTACTGTAAATATATGATACTATGGAAAAGATGATTTGTGTGTGTACTGCAATGTCAGGTCCTTGGTTGATTTTTTTGTTTTTTTGCCATTTACTGTTGTTAAGGTTGAATGTGTTATGATAAAATATACTTGGCTAATTAAGAGAAAACTACAGGACAGCAGAAATTTTAAAACATCTTTACACTTTAAAAGGAATTACACAGTGATTTTAGATTATAGTGTAAGTTGTTTGTTTGTCTCACTGTATTTAAATGCCCGTCTGTCTCTCCCACTGTAATTTGGTTTTTACCAATTTGCTCAAGAGCTCTTACTTGACTCTTCATCAGTTCTTGCACGTAGTTGACCTTAGCCTCCCTCCTTGAAACACTTTTTTGCGTTCTCTGATACTCTTTAGTTTCTGCCCATCTTTCTGGGCACTCCTTTTTAGTCTCTTTCAGATTCATTTTCTTTTTTCTTTTTCTTTTTAAAAAAATTTTTACTTTAGAGAGAATAAAACAAAACAGCAAAATGAAAGAAAACCAAATGGTGAGAACAATTTCTTTGACTTTTTTGAAATAGGGCTTCATAATGCATTTAGGGTGGCTTTGAATTCTGCAATCCTCCTGCCCCCCAGCCTTTCGAATGCTGGGATTACAGGTGTATGCCACCACATCCTGCCTGCTTCAGATTCTTTCAGACTCAGTTTTAGTTTCTTTAAATTTCTGAGTCCTCTTCCCAAGGTTTTACAGATGGTTTGTGTGGCATGGGCTCCTGAATGCATACCTGTTGTCCAACATTTTTTTCTTAGGTTTAGACCTACAGTTCTATCTTTATATCTCTGCATTTTTATTTAATTTTTTTATTTTAAAGATAGTAAAATTCAACAAAACAAAAGAGAACAAAGCCAATCAAAACAAAGAAGCAAAAGTGATACAGAACTTTAAAACAGTGTACTAGGAAAACAACAATAGTTATCATAGTATATCTTGTTATCTTCACAATAGTTGTCTATCCCATGAGGGATAGCAAAATCCAATCCCCCCAAAAAACCCAACAGAATAAAACCTATCAAAACAGAATATTAATTGAATAAAGCAAAATAATCAGAACAAACCAAAACAGAAAAATACTGGATTTCAAAGACAAGATACAAGGAAATTCCCCATATTTGCTATATTGCATACTGTTATCCTCCAAGAGATGCTTAGACTGCTGGCCCCAGGCCTGCAAAATCAACCAAACAATACAAGTATTTAGTTGCTTTATGTATGTTAGTTGCTACCAACTCAGCCTGTCTACCAAATCAGTGGAATGCTTACAGGGCTGTACGGGGCGTGTGGGGTGTGGTTTGATTCTCTGCACACTGGTAGGCTCACAGGAGGTGCTGACTTTTTCTTCCTGGGAGCCGCATGGCTTGCACACTTAGCAGAAAGGCTGGCTGGTTGGCTTCTTGGATCCTCCCAGTCCCAGCATGGCTGATTAAAAAATATGAGCTTTATGAATTTGCATGTCATCATTGTGCAGGGGACATGCTAATCTTCTCTGTATAGTTCCAATTTAGAATGTGTGCTGCAGAAGTGAGCCTGTCGCTGCATTTTTAAGGTTTGTCAATCTCAACAAATAGTACACTTAACCCTCAATTTTCTGACCTCTCACATTTTCTTTTCTCATTTTTCTTATTTTGAGAAACTCCAGTTCTTTTTAGAAACCTGAGTTGTTCTTTATAGCTGCTTGCCCTTACCAGAAACATTTGACTGATACTTCAGATTTATCTTGGATTTATCCCCCCGACCTAGCTCTAGTCTGACATAACAACAGCTCTCAGTTATAGTAGTTCATGCAGTAACTTCTTCACTAAACCTACTGCATAAACTGTCTTTCTCAAATACTGTGTGTTATGATCAGAATGATATTCTCAAAAGTGGAAGTTTGTTTATGTAACTTGCTTGGCCAAATCACCTTGAAGGCTTCCCATTTATTTTAAGGTAATTGCTTTCTATCATTCCTTTCTCTGGGCTTTGTATGGTGCTATCGTCTGATACTTTCTATGGTCTAATTGAACCTGACATATTTCTCACCTGGCCATTTGTCCTTCAGGGCTTGCACATGTGTTCTTTAGTCTGAACATTCCCTACTTCACCTCCCTCCATTCTTTCTTAACCTCTTTTTTGAAAGATCTCTGAGATACCAGTTAAAATAGGTTTTTTGATAATAATGACAGAAAGGGCCTTCTTTTTTTTAGTAATGCTTACTACAGATTTTTAATTTGTGTGTGTGTGTGTGTCTTACCTGATGATTTCAAGCTTCATGAATAAGGATGTTTGGTGTGTACTGTTATATATGGAAAGCCTATTTCAGTGCCTAACAGCTAGTAGATACTCTTGCTTGGCCAAATCACCTTGAAGGCTTCCCATTTATTTTAAGGTAATTGCTTTCTGTCATTCCTTACTCTTGGCTTTGTATGGTGCTTTTGTCAAGATGAAGAAAATATATTGTTATTATAGGTACAAGAAAAGGAAATACCGTTTAAAAAAACTATTTTGACGCATTTGAAAGTTGAGTAAGTTTTTATATATGATCATATAATGTTTTCTCCTTTAATAGATTTAGAATTGTTTTACTTTTTGCTGTTGGTGAGCCAAAAACAGTGCAAAGTTAGTTGTATTAAACGAGCATTTTGTTTTATTTTGTGTTTCCTTATGCCAGTAAAAATTCTCCAACTTGAATGAAACGAAATTTCTCCATTTATTTCAAAAACAGAATTAGCATTAGAATTCAAAAACAGAATATTGTTTTTGACTGGTACAGCCATTCGTATACAATGATTCTTAAATCTGTTGTCTTGGAAGTCTTTTTATGCGATTTTAGCTATTAATGGTATAAACATTTCAGTTGTAAAATGTTACTTGTTTGTATTGTGAGTTTAAAGTGAGGCATATGAAATGACCTTTTATTTTTATTTTTTGTCTTTTCCCTTTTTATCGGTACCGGGAATCGAACTCACGACTGCCTTGACCTTTTATTTTTCTAGGCCACTCAAATTATTTTTGTACTTCTAGCTGGCTATTTAGGTTGAGGAACTCATGATATTCTGTGTATGTACCTATGTATTCTTTTTTGAATTACAGATGGATGGATTTATAAAATTGTTCATTATTGGTAATTTGTACTTCTTTCCCAGCTCATCTAGTTTTCTATTTCTTTGGTTGTTAGACTTTCTTAGTGTGCATTTATATTGTAACAAATTATATATTGATTAGTTTGAAGTGCTTTAGAAGTATGAACATAGTTGAAATAATCTCTGGCACTAAGTTTTCCATATTATGTAGCTCTGATATATTTTTAGTACTGTTAGTAATAAAACTACTTTGTTATGAATTTTTTGGAATTGAATACCAGCATTCTTAAGTTGATGAGATCCCATTCAGGTTTTACAGAAGAAGGAACAGACATTCAGGTTCATCTATTTAGTCTATAAATGAGTGTCACCTACCTACTATGTGTTATATGTTTTAGCTTTTTTAGTGGTAGTGATAAGTTGGAGTAGTTGAAAATCAAAGTACTTATATTCTTATGTGTTCTAAGTATGTTACGTATATTAATGGATTTAATTCTCAGTATCCTTATTAATTATAAGTACCGTTATTATCCCTATTTTAGATATGAGAAAATTAAGAACAGACAGATTAATGTCTTACTCAAGGTCACATAGCTATTAAGTAAGAAATAGGATTTAAATCTAGGCAGTACAGTTTAAAAGTTTGTACTAATAATGGCTTTGCTGTATTCCCTTTGTAGCATATGATCAAGCTAAGATGTTCTATTTGCTTCCTTAGGTCAATTTAAGTGCACCAGAAAGTAATAGGAACAGAAATGGCTTAGTCTATTTCCTGTTACTATAATAGAATACCTGAGACTGGTTAATTTATGGAGAGAAGAGGTTTATTTTGGCTCTGGTGGCTGGGAGATCCAAGATTAGCAGCTGTGTGTAGTGTAGACCTGTTTCTACTTGAATGCAAGTTGAAAAGCAGAAGGCCAAGCAGATACGAGGGAAAGAGGCAAAGAACAGGAAGGCTAACTTCGCATTATTCTAGCTCATACTCATTATAGCCCAGTCCTAAGAGATGCATTAATCCCTTTTAAACCTCTAAGTACTTCAGAAAGGACCTGCTTCCCACCATCACTGCAATGGCAGTTGCATATTTCAACATTAGTTTCAGAGGGGACAGATCTTATTCAAACTGTAGCATGCAGGTCTTTCTTAAGTTAGTTCCTCAAAAAACAGTCTGGTGGCGATCTTGGAATTTGGATAGGGGTGATGCTCATGCTTTTTATATTTGATAATGTAAATTTCATGGGTACAGTGACCTTGTGTGTCTAGTTTACCGACATATGCAGTAGTATGTCTGGAATGTGTGTCAAATAGGTGAATTCAGATACATAGCAGAGGGAATCACACAGACATTCAGGATAGACATAGAATCAGAGCCAATACTTTGCCATCCTGTTGTCATAAGATACACAAGTGTTTTGATAGTACTGAGATTGAAGCCTTTATAGATACATTACACTGTAAATTCTGTGAAATGCTCTCTCTAGCTAATCTACCTATCAAAGGGTTATGTTTATGAAGTACTTACCTGTAGGTACAAACCATTGTATCTAATATTGGTATAAGCAAAAGTGTAGTCAAACATGGTTCTTTCCTTCTCAGGATGTGTAAGATATGTATGCGGGGAAATGGAATGATAGCATAAATGGCTAAGTGACGGTTCATGCAAAATATAAAATAAAATAATTGGAAATTTAAACTGGGAAACCTGGAGGTTTCATTTAACTTTTGGTTTATATATGAAAGAAAAGCTCAGAGAGGTTAAGTGAATTCTCTCATGTTTCATGGGCCATAATGGGATCACATAATACAGAAGTTACTTTTGATAGGTCCAGATAGTAGTGTTAACTGAACTGCCTCTTCAGAAGTTATAGGGTGAAGGATAATGTTTCAGATCAGAGAATGTTAATAAAAATGAGAAATAAACATCTGACTAGCAGTAAAGCATAGTAGAATTTATTAGAGTAAGTTTGTTATTACCAGCTAGAAAGTGTTAGGAAATGACTGTGAGTTGACTCTGGAGTGATTGGTCCTCAGTAGAGTTTCCTGATGGTGTTCAAGGAAGTTAAGTAATAAAAGGAATACATAGTTTGGATTGGAGTGGGAAGCAGGAAAGATAGAAAATTATGTCTCTTTCATTAACAAAAAATAAATGAAGGGGATAATGATTTTCATTGTAAAATGAGTCAGCACAGGCTCCTTTCTTAAAACAGATTATTCAGTTTATAAAAGCATCTATATTCACTTCTCTATCTTCTTTCAAAGTAATGTTTTGTTTCTCATTTTGGGAAGGTGAATCAAACAGTTTAAAAGTATGATTTCCCTCAAAATTTATTTTCCACAACTTTGTTGTAAAAGTCCAAAGGTACTCAACTTAATGTTTATTTATATCTAATCTGAAACAGATGTGTTCCAAATATGTTTAGTAAGAAAAGAAATCCAAGTGGACTAATATTTTGGAATTGGTGTTTTACATTAGTGAATGAAGAAACTTCTGCCGCTTTTTTTTCATGGGTTTGAACAACCTTAGGCCTATATTTTACAGTTGTTTGGTGATATTTCTAATAATGACTCCTTCAATCTTGTATTTGTTATTTTCTTAGCTTGTTTCTATCCTAAATTGTCAAAATTTTTGAATTGATTGCCAAAGAATAAACTTTAACTTTGGAAAATTTTCTTCAATAGAATCTAGTTTCAGAGAAATAAGTACAGAGACTCAGTTTCATAACCTGAACATTTCAGTACATCAGATGAATAGCCTCCAGTGAATTTTTACCATAAACTATTAATATTTAGCATATTTCTTTAAGCTTAATTTGTTCAGATTTCATTAAAATGCCTTTAAAAACAAAAACCTCACTTCAGTTGAATTATAATAGCATAGTCTGAATCACATCTTCAGTTTTGAGTTGACAGTATATTTGCATAATATATTATTGGAGCAAGCAAGTATTTAATGGTTTAAATGTTTAATTTAAAAAATAGGATTTACCTTATTTGCATATTATCCTGGAAGTAAAATTTATCTTTTTGTCAAAAACAATTACATTAGTTTTGTTAGTTGAGTTTTCTTCCACATTTATTAAAACATACCAAAACAATTTCAAAACATCAACAATTACATCTCGTAGTATATTATGAGAGTAACACTCTTAACAGAGCATGGATTATTTTTAGAAATATTCAAATGGTACATTAGGCAATAAGTGAATTTTATCACATTAATGAGTCTGAAGACTAAAAATCCAAGATACCTTCCAGAGAAAAGGTTATTTGATTAAATCCAGCATTCTGGTTTATCAACAGATGCAGACATGATAAAGCATAAACTTACATCAGGCAAGACAGTGTTGAGAGTCTTTATAGTAGAGCTACTTTCCTTCATTTTCATTACTCTTTTCCTAATTTATAAACATTGACACTATTGAAAGAGTGATGTGAGTTTTTTGAATTGTAGATTTATCTTAAGAG